GCGCGGGCTCCGGAGGCAGCGCGGAGATCCAGCCGCTGCCTGCGCTGCACCCAAGCGGCGGCCCGCACTCGAGCTGCTGTGCGGCGGCAGCCGCCCCGAGCCTCCTGTTGCTGGACTACGATGGCTCGGTGCTGCCTTTCCTCGGGGGCCTGGGCGGCGGCTATCAGAAGACCCTGGTGGTGCTCACCTGGATCCCGGCGCTGTTCATCGGCTTCAGCCAGTTTTCGGACTCCTTCCTCCTGGACCAGCCCAACTTCTGGTGCCGCGGGGCCGGCAAAGGCACCGAACTAGCGGGTGCCACTGTCACCGGCCGGTGGGGCGACATGGGCAATTGGACCAGCCCCCCGGTCACCCCTTTCTCCACTGCTACCTGGGGGACCGCGAGCAACCGAAGCAACAACAGCGACACACCACCCCTCCCGTCCCCTCCAGGCAAGGGGAACAACGATTCAAATTGCGACTGCCACGCTTGGGACTACGGCATCCGCACTGGCCTCGTCCAGAACGTGGTCAGCAAGGTAAGGGCCACGACCGCTGCGTCCCCGCGTTCTTCTCGTGAACCCTTTTCTTCCGACCACGGTTGCCTCTGCTCTGCGCTCCATTTCTCTTTCTCTGCAGATCTAGGTCCGAGCTTACCCAGCTGAGGAGCCCGAAATGCTAGCCTGTGTACTCACAATCCCGCATTGACTGGGCTCCCTGCTGTCCCCCAAAGGAGATGCTCTTACTTGGATGTGAAGCCAAGACTGTTTGCCGCCCTCTGCGGTGCCCGTGACGCTGCATCCGCTTCCAAGGGACCGATATAGCCTTTTCTAATTTCCACCCAAACTCCTGTCCCGGTGCACATATGGAAAGGGCGCCCCTCCCCCAAAAGGTTCAAATCCTTTCCTCGATCTTGCTAGGTGTTAGACTCACTGATGGCTCAGCAACGGCCCTGGAGGACTCGGTCCCTCTTCTATGTCTGCTCCTTAGAGCCAGGCCATAGCTATGTTCTTTCCGCGGACCACCTGCCCCTGTTGTCTCCCACGAACAACTAACTATCCATGAAAAATAGTGTTCTATTCTCAGATGTTCTTTCTGGCAGACCTCAGCCTTCCCACACGTGCCTTGAACCGATTAAAGCCAGTTAAAGAAATGAAGTTATAGACAAAGAAGCCGAGCCCTTTGAAAAGTTCCCTTACTACCCCACCCCCAGCCCAACTATGCGTTGCCCTTTTCAGAGATCTGACTGTAGAGTTCAATGTCAGGGTGTTGCCGCAAAGGTTTTCTCAGGACTTCAGTCAATAGCCCCATAGCATAGGAAGGATGTGGGAAACTTGCCTGGAGTCATCGTAGCCCCTGTGGAGCAACTGCTCTCTGGTCTGAGGCATTAAGACCTGGTGAGCTGGTCCCTAGTACCGGCTTTGTCCTCCCTGTCCCTTGTAGAGGTCCTGCATCCTGTGTAAAATAGCAGGAGTGTTCTGTGAGAGATAGATGCCACCCTGAGCATGGGTAGTGTTAGACAATGACCTTAGATACCTATAGTGTTCGGTTTTCTCTTATCCTGTAGGAAATAGCGAATGCCACTTTGTCAGGCGATTTATGAAGCATTTCTAGTTTCTGTCCCTTTTGCATTTTAAACAGTGCAGTTAGAAATGGGGCAGTTCTGGGCAGTTGGAAACGCTGTGTCTAAACATGAGAGTGGATTTGGACAGTTTATAAATTGTCTGTGTGGAGTCCATCCCCACAACCAGTGTGTGTTAGTAAACAGTTGTAGTTCATGGATGTGTAAGACGAAACTCTTACATCATCATAATCATTTTTTAATCTTGTATCAACCTGGCCAGAAGCACTGGGTCCTGTGGGAACTGTCTGGCATAGTGATCCCTCTGCTCTGCGAGATAATTGGGAAGGTCCTCCTAGTACGTCTCATCTTGACTCATCCCCCACAGCCTCTCCCTTCTCTAACCCATCCCCATTCACGAAGGGCAATGTTGCTCTCCCCCTCTCTTCTTCATCTTCTCTTTGCTTAGCCGCAGAAACAATTTTCAAAACGGCAACTATTTTAAGTCGCCAGGTATGCCTGTCAGAGTAAGGATTTGGCAACACTGCCGAGTATTTTTTGCCCCTTTCTGGAGTAAAGGAAGGATAATGGATTAAAAGGGTATGTGCAGAGAGAACTTTGTGCGAGAGTTAAGTTGGAAGTTAGGAAAGCAGACCAGCACTCTACCAGTGGGGACCAGGAGACAGCTCTTCATCCTGCCAGGCATGGTGTGAAGCAAGAACAGAAATAGTTCCTGAAAACAGACTATATAGAGGCATATTGGAAAGCTGGGCAAGTTTTTAAAATTAGCACTCAGGAAGGGGCTCCGCACAGGGGCGGGGGAGGAGTGCCTGGCAACACATGGCAGTCACATGCTGTGGACAAGATGACACTAAGGAGTAAAGGCCTGGGCACAGTAATTAGAGGCAGACTTTGCTCATACTGTAAAGGCTGGGAAGGACGTCTTGATTTTCACAGATGACTCTGCTCAGGTAGAGAACTGCCCTGCCACCGTGTTCTGTTCTGTAACAATTCTGGAAAGAGTGGGTCCAGCGCAGTTTGGCATGAAAGGTGCACTTTTCCCTCTGCTGACTGTGCTCACCGAATTCTGTGTCCATGGACCAATGTAGGATTCGTACTGTGATACTGCTGCCTTGTACACAGTAGACAGAAGAAGCCTTTACCTTTTGTCCGTGTGGAGACGCTGTGCATTAGCAGCCACAGGCTGTCTTCAGCCGTCAGTCAGCATGGCTCCTTCAGCAGGTGTGCTCGTGAACCAGCCTGGTCCCTCCTAGCACTGGTTGTTGGTTGGGAAGAGGTAACACGATTGCTGCCTTCATACCTGATGTTGGAAGAGAACAGCTCCAGGATGTTGAATGAAGTGGGTCCCTGGGCTCTGAGCTATACCCCTGGCATGCACTTACTGCCTCATTTTAAACAGCTCCACAAATGGGGCTCTGTCCCTAGCAGGCCAGCCTGCCCTTCCTTGTAAAGAAGCATGAACTTTGATGAGTTACACTTAAGTTCTCTCATGCTAACCTGCAGCTCATTCCTGAGAATGCTTTTCTCCATCATAGAAAGCATATTTATCCCTCCCTCCCTCTCTCCCTTCCTGTTGTCTTGTTTTGTTTTGTTTTCAGACAGGGACTACTCTATAGACTGGGCTGATCTTGAACTCAGAGATATCTACCTTCCTCTGTCTTTCAAGGGCTGGGATTAAAGATCTACACCAGTATGTCTGGCTTTATTCAGCAGTTTCTTACCTGGCTGAAACATGTCCTCCTACTTCAGCTCTTCCATTCATAACAAAGTCAGCCATATTTACTACGGCACAGAAAATATGCCTCTTAAGTGTGGTACCATTGCACAACCAAGTAGGCACTGCATGATCTACCCCAAAAGAGAGATGAATGGATGTCTTTCCTCCACTAATGGAGCCGATGGTGGCTGCACCATCACCTTTAGACATACTGTCTAAAGACTGTGGACTCCGGGCCACCTTGCTTTATCTAGTAGGCTGTGTTCAGCGAGCACTTCTCTGTTTCTACTCAGATAGCATGACACACAGTTCCAGTTTCTTTAAAGTCATTTTGAGTGTTAAGATCTCTCCTCTTGGTGTCTTTATTGTTTTTGTTTTTTTGTGAGACAGGGTTTCTCTGTACAGCGCCCCAGCGGTCCTGGAACTTGCTCTGTAGACCACAGACTCACAGAGATCCACCTGCTTCTGCCTCTTGAACACTTAGATTAAAGGCCATGCCCAGTTAACTTTATTGTTTTCATCATTTGACTTGATCCTTGCATTTGTTACACACACACACACACACACACACTCACACATACACACACACACATACACACACACACATACACTCACACACACACACATACACACACATACACACACACACACACACACACTCACACACACACATACACACACACACACCAGAATTTTCACCCTAGATTCTCCAGTTCCTTCAAAATGATGGTGGTGGTGATGTTGGCACCACCTTTATTTTGTGTGTCTCTTTCTAGTGTCTGGAGCATTTTCCATGAATTACTTCCTTTGATTAAGAATAGTAACCCAAGGCCAATCTTAACATAGCAACATTGCTGATTACAGAAGATGAACACATACTGGAATAGTTCCTCATAGGAAGCAGGTATCCAACCAACTTCCTTATTTCCATCCTGGCATTTTATACTTCAGTTCTGCTGGTCCAAGCTGGCAGTGCCTTCCGGATGAATCAAACACATCCCTCTCCCAGCACAGCAGGCTTGAGGTTCTGAAGACAGGCGGCTCTGGAGTAGACTCCCTTTCTCATTTTCTGTGCTGCAGCCCAAAGTTTCTCATGCTGCTGAGATCTTAATAACAATTATTTCAACTAAAAGAGAAAAATAAATTCCATGAATGTAGAAGTATTGCTTTTAATGGCTGACACAACTCATCCTGTGTAGTTCTGTCTGAGTATTGCTGGTGGCTAAGGCTCATGGGCTTCTGGAGTAATCTCTAGAATTTGGTCAGCAGGCAATGCCAGCTAACCTTCCCAAGTCTTTTTTCCCTGCAGTTGTAGTTTAAATTGTCCTCTCATTTCCTGCCTTCTTATGAATTTGCAAAGATTTCTGGCCTTTCTCTTAAAAGTTGTTTAATATCCTGGGAAGTAATTTGTATCCTTTTTCTAGCAGTTATTTAAGGTGACTTCAGTATGATGTAATTAAGACTAAAACCAATTTTACTATCGTTGCAATGGCAATCATTTTTAAAGTAGTCTGCAGTGTTGTCCTAACTAGTAACTAGTTTCCACGTCTGAAATGCTCAGCACTTATGCTTATTTCTCTCTCCCAGGGTGTTTATTTAATGGAATCTGTCATTATTCTCTATCATGTCAGAAGTATTTGTCAATCCTTAGAAACACTTTTTTAAGACTTGATTTTGTTTTTATGTGCCTCTTTGTGCCTCTCGTGTGTGTGCGTGTGTTGTGTATATGTATGTTGTGTATGTGTGTGTGCATGTGTGTATGTGTACCATATGTGCAGATACCTAGAAAGGCCAGAAGGCGGCATCGGATCCATTGGAAGTGAAGTTCCAGGTGATTCTGAGCTGCCTGACATACCGGGAACTGAACTCAAGTCCTCTGTAAGAGCCCTAAGCCGTCAGATATCTCTCCAACCCCTAAAAATTTTAAATTTCATATTTATTTTTGCTGATGTACTAAAATTTCTTGAGTTATTCTCCTAGTATCATTTTGTCAACCCAGTAGGGGCTTTTATATGCTATATATAACACAATAGTGAACATCTTTGTACAAATTTCTTTTTTTGATTAACTATAATAGATAATGGATTACATGGCTTAGAATATAGTGTAAGCAGTGCATGACTTTAGTCCTAGCACTCAGGCAGAGGTAGACAAATGTCTGTGAGTGTGAGGACAGCCTGGTGATCATAGGAAGCTCCAGGCCAGCCAGAGTTAGACAGTTAGATGCTGGGGGGTGGGAGGAAGCCACAGTGTAAGTCTCAACGTTTGTTCTCTGTGCTCCTCAGTTTCAACATGGTTGCTAGATTTTTATTTTTATTTTTCCAAGACAGGGTTTTTCTATAGCTTTGGAACTAGCTGTAATTCTGGAACTAACTGTAGTTCCGGAAGTAGCTCTTGTAGACCAGAGGCCTCAGACTCACAGAGATCCTCCTGCCTCTGCCTCCCGACTGCTGAGATGAAGGATGTGTGCCACCGTCACCCAGCATGGTTGCCTTACAAAAATATTCTATTTTCATTTATATATTTACCTCTCGTTTATATCAGAGTTAAGTGCATATCATTATATTGTTGTTTTTATGTCTTCATAGTATTCTGTTGTCTGACTGGGTCATAATTTATTCAACTAGTCCCATGCTAAAAAGGCATTGGGACTATGCCTTTCTAGTCTATGTCATTTCTAGACTTTACTGTTTTTTATATATGTGTGTGTGTGTGTGTGTGTGTGTGTGTGTGTGTGTGTGTGTATGCAGTAAATAATTATATCCTTACACACAGAAACATTTGCACAAATGTAAGATGTAAGAAGCAAGGGGTTTAACCCCCCTGCATTGTTATTTGGTAGATGTTCCTTATAAAGAACTTAGCAATTTATATGTTCATCCATGGTTTGTGTGGTCCTGTTTCCCACACCTTCCATGATATGAGGAGTTGCCAGACATTTAGATGTCTGATAGTCTGGGAAGTAGAAAATAACGTTTCACGACCGCTACAGATTTGTGCTGGTCTCAGTCTGTGGCTTCGCCATCTTTGTGCATTTGCCTTCCTTGGAATGGTCTCCCATCTGTTTGCCTCCATGTGCATAAATGTTCTAGGGTTATTTCCCAACTGACAGCAGCACTGTGGCTCTGAGCCTGTCTCCCCCTGAGTAATTACCCAAGCTTCTGATTCTGCTGGTGGTGCTTTGGTTATACACACAGCTTGGTTTGGATAGAGTCAAGTGACTTAGTCTTTCCTTCCATGGCTTCTGAGTTTTGTGTTGTTAGGTTTATGATTTCCATAGACCTGAATTGATTGGGGAGATTCCATGTTCTCTTCTAATAGTTTTGATTTCATTTCCTCTTCAGCTTCCCCTTGCAGCTCTGGTTTTTTCTTATTGTGCTGTGAAGGTGCATTTCTAGAACTGCATGCACACAGATAGAGCCCACGCTTTGTGCAGACTTGCTTCTAACCTTCAATTCAGCTGTGCAGAGGCCAGGACTGAGAGGCGGTGGAGAGGTCGGATGCTCTCCTTCAGGGAACACAACACTCTCCAGGGCTGTAGGACCCTCTTTCCTCTTTCATCATCTTGTTCTGAATGGTTTGGGGCGATGTTATTGTTAGAAGCCACTTCAAACTCTTTTTCTGTCCTTAGCAGTTTTTGCAAGTACTGATTCATCTTGGCCTTTGATCCAAGGCAGAGCTGAGTCAAAGAGTTGGTATCATTTGTAAGCACATTGGATTTTCGATTGTTGTCCTGGCATTGTCAGTGGTTGGTATGCCAGAGACACTGTGGGCATCTCGGCCCATCTTCATATTCAGTAATGTAATGTTGGTGGCTACCAGTGGGTCATCCAGGGGTTTTTAGGTGTTTCCACCTTGGAAACTGGCGAGCATCACACAGGGATTCCTGTTTTCTTCAGAAAGCCAGTTGTTTAGCATTTGTTACAGAAATAAGGGCAGGCTTGCCCCCACCTCCAGCCTTTCCTTTTCCCCTCCTTTTTTCATGTGCATACTCTGAACCTGGCCTTGTGCCACATGCTGGGGATGCAATGCTGGGAGAAAATAGCTCAACTTTCATAGACCTGACAGGCTAATGAGGGAAGCACACCCTAACTGGTCAAGTCGTGGTCTTTTAATTTCTAACTGAGATAAGTCTATGGAAAGAAAAGAGAGTGAAAAGCCAGAATAGAGAAACCTGACATACAGGGGCTCTTGTATCTGAGGTGGACTAAGGGTTGTGTATGAGGAGAGAGGCAAAAGAGAACAGTATGCGTGTCCCAGAGGGCAGATAGCATTTGTAAGGGCCATGTGGCATGCAGAATCCTAGGTTGCCCATCTTCGGTGTGGGAATAGGACAAGGGCCAGGGTTCATGACCCATGTTAAGAATTCCAGAGCAAAGGGGAAACCATCAGTCTACTGATTAGGTTGGTGATAGGAGGAGGTGAGAGTTCAGTCTTTGAAAAAGTTCTCTGTCGCTGCAGCATCGAGGTTTGCTGTTGACATGTGCGGAGTGGGCTGGGCTGTGCCAGCTAGGTCTGCAGAAGACAACGCAGTTTACCAGAGATGTAATGACATAGGGATGAGAGAAAGAAAAACAGACAGAAAGGCGGGGTGAAGAAGGCCTGGGCCCAAGCTTTACAAATGCCATGGGTTCTCAGCGAGGAAGGCGTCCTGTGGGGTGGCTGGGGGACCTGAAGGTGCTTGGTGTGAGAAGGGGTCTGAGATGGAGCAGTGGGGCATCATGCAGGAACTCTGAGACCAAGCCAGACACTCAGCAGCCTGGAGAAGGGCATGAGGCCCTGACCCCACTTACCTGGATACGGGTAGGAAAGACTGGTCTTTAGGAGCATTCTAGCATTTCATTTGCTCTCCTGCTAAAACTGGGAGAGTGCTAATTACATTTCTACAAGGCTGAAAGAGCAGATTTAGAAAACCTTAGGGTCAGAATGTACATCCACTGCCTACATTCCCGGTACCCATAGGCTAGACAGAGATTGCATTGGGTATGGGGTGTCATATCCATAGGACCTTCTTGTCCAGCATATCTGTAGGACCTTCTTGTCTTTAGTTTACATAGAATGGAGCTGAGGGGCAGTTGATACGTCCAGTTCTTATCGCCTACTGACTTTTACAACCTAGCAGAGGATCGTGTGGTCTAAGAATGCCCCTAAGCGTATGTTTGCCGTGCTGTGAAGTTGAGGTGTATCATTCTGTGACTCTGTAGGGGTAGGTTTTCTCTTTCTGGGCAAATTTCTCTGATCTCTGCCCCATTGGCCTTTGTAGACCCCTAACTGGCTTCATCTGGCTGCCTTTGAATCTACAGACCCAGAGACACTAAGATGCAAACCGGCCATGTGGTTCTCCGGCTTGTGGTCATTCAGGGCTCCCTGTCATGGCTACCTAAGATGTTTGGCTTTGACCTGAGCTCTACCTACCATTCTGGTCCTCCTCGATACCTCTTTGGTTGGAGGGGACCGCTCTAGCTCCCAGCTGGGCTCAGTTTCTCTTCCACGTTTACCTTAAGTTAAGCTGTTCCATTGATGTGGAACACCCTTCCCTTTATTCTTCAGCCCCCTGGCGCCTGTTCAGCCCAAGTCAGCTCAGTTTTCATCTGACTCTTCCCAGCGATGGCAACACTTACCCAGAATGCAGTCTGTTTGCCTCCCCACTAGAGGTCTTTGACCCGCAAACTCTTACCACACAAGCCCAAGCCCCTTGAACATGGATGGCATGGTGAAGTGTGAGGGAGCATTTTTCGGTTGGAGGGTGTGGTTGGCATTGCCAGCGTTCCAGCTTGGAACCAGCTTATCAAATCTAGATTACTCTTTCTAGCTTCCTCATTGGCAGGGTGGGGTACCTGCTGCTTTACCTCCAGGTGGTGAGAGGGCAGAACACCGGGGAGGTGTGGCTCCACCCCTCCGCCTGGCAAACAGGAGGTACCTGGCTGGTGGGGTGAGGGCTGCCAGGTCTGAGAAGCCTAGAGATGAAGGAGATGAGAGGGTCATACCTGAAGGGGTAACTTATCTCACTAGGGCACGGAAGTGGAGGTGCTGCTCCCTGAAAAGCTGGGTGTGCCCTGAAAGCCGGGTGTGCCCTGTCCACGGGAATCCTGCACCCAGGGTGTTGTAGCAGTCAGGCCACCAAGG